TTTTTTTTTTTTTTTTTTTTTAAACACTATTTGTCCTTTGTATCTTGTATTTCAATTATCTCTTGCTTATTCGATGTTAGAAATGGATTAAGCAGACAAAACAATCACCAATTACTGGTAGCCATGATAAAGGCAAGCGCGGATTATTCAAATCGTCGTCTACTACTTGTTATACAAAGAATGAAGGATACGGATCTTTATATGGATCCATTGAATAAACATCTATCACGCGAAGAATAAAAAATTCGGGAACGCTGTTCATTGTCGATTTTTATCGTACGATCGACGATCCATGCAGGAATTGAATAAGGGGGAAGTCATTCAGAATTTTGCGCAACGTTGCAATGCAGCTCAACACTTTGCTGTGAAAAAAAAAATCTTTGAAAAATGAAACAAGATTGATGTCTTGTGACTGGAGACATTGGCGAAGAACTTGGAAACATTTCTCCTTATGCTTGCGAATAATAAAATAAGTTCAATAAGGTCAAATATTGACGAATAGACGAAGAGAGTAATGAAAATAATTGCGAAAGATGTGTGATTTCAGCTGAAAAACAACAGCAAAGAAAATCTCTATTGGAGAATGGAATTATCGAGAGCATCACACTTAAATTCTTCTGCGACGATCGGTGAAGATGAAAAGATTAAGAAGGTGAAAACTAAAAGAGCTAAGTATCATAATACGTGACTATGGAAAGAGTCGAAACGAGATGAACGAGACCAAAGTTTTGAAGAAGGGTTAAAAACGTGCAATCCTCAGACAGGTTATAGTTATAGCTATTGATCGAATCTGAAGGACAGGCCAATCAGCTGTGCGCCGAATCACAAAAAATATTTTCCGCGCTAAGAGACTGTCATAGATGTATAATTCGCGGCAAGAACGAAGTTATCGAACGTGTTTCGATAACTTGAAATTCATTTGAAAGTGGATCACGTTTTTAATACATGAAAGTTTGACGGCAACAGACATAAATATATCATCGTGTCGAATATAGTCAGTCCATGAGTATTCCGTAAGATAGAGCAGACAAATCATCGAGACAGGGAAGCAGT